CATCAAACAGTGGTGAATACTGGATGTCCAGTTTAATATAATCCAGGTATATGAATAGTTAATAATAATAATAATAATATTTGAACTTTATTGATCCATTTACCTCTGCATTCAACCCATCCCCTTGGGGAGCAGTGGGCTGCCATTGTGCGGCACCCACGGAGCAGTGTGGGGTTAAGGGTCTTGCTCAGGGACCCAGAGTGGAGGTTGTGGGGATCAAACCAGCTACTTGCAAACCTTTCAGAGCACAATTGCACTGCTCTAACCACTAGGCCAACACTCAGCTTAGTTCCCTCTGAATTAATGAATAGTTATTTTTAAATGGTTATTGAGTCAGATATGTGAGTGTTTGGCTGACGTTTTAGCTCAGAGTCCAATATCTTTCCGTGTGGGGACTATAAAACATATATCTGTGATGGCGGTACTGCTGCTGAAGCTCCTCAGAAATGTAATTAGCACACAGAGCAGTAGAGAAGGTTGGCATCCATTTTCCTTCGTGTGTCAACTGTAGAGGTTGCTAGGTGACAGAGCATAGGGCGGCAAAAGTAGGAGAAGGCTGAACCTTTGTGAATCCATAGCTAAACTCTTCCAGCCTCCTTTTTTTCACAGACCTCGAAGGACCCGGCCAAGGTACACTGGGTCTTTGGAGGATGCAGCCGCTGAAATTGAACGCACCCATATGTACAGGAGTCCGTTTAATTTCAGCGGTGATACAAGTTCAACAATGATACACTGAATTATTGTTGAACTTGATGAATGCATGAAGAATAAAGAGGGGAAGTGAAGTAGGAGGTAGGCGGCAGTTCTACTCTTTACTGTCTCTACTGGCAGAACCTCTCCTTTGGCCAAACAGGACAGGATGAAATATAGTGTTCAGAGAATTCCCAATATAGGAACCCTACATCTTTGGCATTTCTTCAGTGTGTACGACCAGGATGCATGTATTCTGGTTCAAATGAGGATGAAAATGGCGCAGGTTGAAAAGTTGTCACCAGTGTGGGTGAATTTAAGTTTCTGGCTACTGGCTGCTTCTTTGGCTCCCTTCCCTTGATCTGCTTTCTATAGAGGGGGCTTATGTTCTTAAATTGCTTAAAGTCTCTGGTTCTCCCTGAGTAGCTAGCTCATCCTTTAAAGATTTGAATTCTAAGAAGTATAAGAATGCCACTTTTAGGGGCAGAAGAGTCCCAGCCTGAGGCAGCAGCTAGAGCATGAAATTCAATGGAAAATTCAGAAAGTGACATGACACCCTGTCTTCAATTCCTTAACCGATGTTACAAACAGATCTGATCAATTTTATCTGATAATATAAGTTGGAACTCATTTATTAAATCCCACTAAGAGCAACCTGAAACCACATTTTCTTTTAACTTGGCTTCTAACCATCTTATAGTCTTACCATTCAGAATTCTCAAGATATATGAGATTTCGGCATCATCATGAGGTGACTGATTATCGACTGAATACCAAAGATCTTTGTAAATGGAAACCACCACAACCTGTCTCCCACGAAAAAATGTATCTGGGTTCAGAGAGATGACATCACATAAGGGAGAAATCTGCTAGGTGACTGGGAAAGATGAAACATGATCTAAATAGAAACAAACCGTCCTCCAAAACTTATTTCTCATACCACCTCTCCCTCTAATTGCATTTAATAACTATATATATATATATATATATATATATATATATATATATATATATATACGAATCAGGACAAAATCCACTTAGAGTGTTTAGATTCAATGATAGTTTGTTTGTTAATCTCGAACCATATCTTAAGTCGAAATAACTAAAGGTTTATATCAGCCATAAGCTCATCTAAATGTTCACCTGTACAAAACATGTTAGCATCGTCTGCAAACAAATTTAGGTATTCTAGAAACTTTGCAGCTGTTATTAATATAAGGGATAAATAATTTTGGCCCAAATACTGACCCCTGGGAGACACCACAAACAATGTCCAACACGATAACTGGCAGTCACCCATTTGCACAAATTGCTGACTGTTGCTTAGATACCTTTCATCCAGAGTAGTACTACTCCCCAGGTGTCATAACTCTCCAATTTCTTAATAATATTTCGTGATTTATTTAGTCAAATGCTTTTTTGAGATCAATAACTACACCAACTGCAGATTTCTTATTATCTAAGGCACTGGTGACTTCTTCTATGAATTCAATGACGGCCATTGTTGTAGATCTTTGTGAGTTACTGACTTTCGGAAAGCAATTTATGTTTATAAATGAATGTATCTAATCTATCCATAAATAATTTCTCCAAAATTTTGGAAAACTGTGGAAGTAGAGAAACAGGCCTATAATTTGTGAAATGGTGTCTGTCCCCAGATTTCTAAAGTGTAATAACTTTGACAATTTTTACCTTTTTCTGTCTCTGAGCAAAAACCCTTAACCCACACTGCTACCCGGGCGCCGGACAATGGCAGCCTACTTTTGGGAAAAAGGCTCCCACTGTACATGATATTCATGAACTCTTCAGTAGGTTTATGATTATTTGTTAGGTAGATCAATATCAAATATGTATTATATATGATGTAACTTGTATGTTTGCTCAAACTATTCTCTAAATATTTCAATACTATAACCAGGAGCTCTGTGTATACAACTAATAACAACATTTTTTTACTTTTGCATAAATATTTCAACTGCATCTTTAGTCACTCTGGTCATGTTTTCTACTATTTTCTACTTGAAGTTATTGTCAACATACACACCCCCTCTCATAATCAGCTTTTTTCTCATGAGTGATCAATGTTTCAGAGATGGCTATGATGTGGAACGGGTGTTTAAACTGGTTCAAACAGTCTATGATGCTGTTGAAGTTTGCATATAAATTTCTGCTGTTGATGATAGAAAACGTATTATCTGCTTGAACTGTGCTGCTGAATTGATCAGCTGTGTAATAGCAGCAAAGGTTTTTATCTGGATCCATGTTCTCTTCCATGTCCTGACTTATATAATCCATGCAGCTCAATGTTTTCACTTCCAGATTATCTGCAGTAACAGTTGTAGGCGTTAGTGTTTGGTACATAAGTGACGAAGAAACAGATCCTGTAACTTGTGACATGGTGAATGTGAGTCATGCGAAATATCACCTGTGCTCCAAATGTTCCTTGAAGATTTGAGTTGTATTTATCCAGCTCAGTGATTTCCTGAATGACCAAAACCTTGGCCTCCTCCAGTGTTCCGTTTAGCTTGAAAAAGACCTTACAGTTTGCGACCACATGGACAGGATCTTCTTCTGCTTCCTCAGGAACTGGACCTTCCTATTAATGTTGACATTCTTCTTGGTCAGGTGCTCGTTAATGAACACATCTGACCCCTTTAGCATCCTGCCCTGTTTCAGCAGAGCAGGTTTTTGGTTCCGGTTAGTGAACCTCATGATAATCGCTGTACTTTCATTGTTCCCTCGTCTTTGGAGCAGGTGGCACGCTTCAGTGGAGTCAAAGTCCAGATTTATTCCCTTTGGCAAGAGGAAGGAGGCCACCTGTTCCTCCGTGGACACCAGCCAGACAGGGCCCTGATGATCACATCATTCATTCTGGTGTACTGTTCCAAGTCGGCCCCTCAGTCTTCCAAAACTGCGATCCGTTTGTCCTTTCCCCCATTCAGCAGTCATAAAGCCTTCACCTCTTCAATCAGGTTCAGAATGGACTTTTGCTTGAGACGAATGGCCCAGGTTTCTCCAAAAAGGAAATTCCAGGTGTTCTTTATCTCCTCAAAATCCTCCAAGGCTGGATTCTTCTTAGGGCTATGCTGGCAACAGGAACGTAAACACCACCACCACCACTATCCAAGATGCCGCCAAACCCAAGACACTCTGATGTGATCTACTTGCTCACACTCTACGTCCAAAAACCACATCTGACTCACTGCCTAGAGATGGCGCTAGTCAGACTCGTCAATCTAGAAGAACAAATACAAATACCTCATGATGATCGACTGAATTTCAAACATGTTTGATTTTCTTCCAACCTTACGGTTCCTGATTGGGAAGTGGTTACCCCCGGCAGGATGCACGATGAGGCTGAAAACCAGCCCGATTCCCAAAAATTCTTGCACAACTGGATAATCGGCCCCGAAAAGGGCAAAAAAATCCTAAAGTATATGCCCGAGTTAACAGAAATATAAACTTCCTTGTGATGCTTTTTTGCCCTGTATTTATCCTTTGCAAATATACGAGTACACAGAAATGGATGGAAAGAGGGTCGGGGAGTGTGGCCACCTGGTGGGTAAAATTTCCCAGGAATATGCTACATTTTGTGGACTGACAGCTATACTTGGGGACCAATGACTGGTCCTATTAGGAAAGGTTCTCTTCCTGGGATGCAGGTTAATTTAGGACTGATGTATGAATTGAGTTTAGGTTAAGTTTAGGGTTAGTCATGTGTTGGTAAGCATAAGCCTTAGATTAGCTTTAGGTTTAGGGTTAGGCTTAAGTTAGGTTTAGGCCATAGAAATGAGGGGGAAATTAATGGAAGTCAATGAAAAGCCCCCACAAGGATAGTTTGACATGTGTGTGTTTATGTGCTTATGGGGCGGGTTGGGGGCGTTGTTGAGTTCTCAACAGCCCCCTCTAGTGGTAAAGTATTGTTAAATGTTTCTACATAAAAATAACACAAAACACATCAGATTAGTTTTATGAATCTCATGTTCTTCCAGAAATCATATTCACTCCAGAGATTATTTTTACACATCACCAAGAGCCATAATTGTTCAACCCAATATGCATATTTATCAAAATTAGTGCTGCTGATGAAATGAAATCAGTGATTTTTTTTTTGTGTTTGTGCTGTTTGTCGTAGATTTGTGGCAGCAGGAAAAAGAGAGACGTCTCAGTAGGAAAACATTCAAGCAAGTCTTCAGGAAATGCTGTTCTGACCGCCGGGCCCATCATTACTCGAAGTGGTAATGATTACTCTTTGTTCTCTGTCATTTCCTCTGAGTCTGTACTAGCAACAAACCTGCTCCTATTTTCAAGCAAACATAACATAGATTATAACACAAATGCTTATTTGTAACTACACATTCTTTTTATTTAGTCTAGTTTCCAGTTTCTTACAAATAAGAAAAGAAGAAATACTTTGTTTCCTTCCTTAGGTAGAAATGTTGGCTATCTATACTTAACTGGTGTAATTACTCTTTAGATAACTTTTTACTTCTACTCTTTACATTTTTTGCAATTATCTCTCCTTTCTACTACTTATATTTAAAAACATAGTCTCGTTAGTTTGGTTTCATTTAAGTTAATTTTCATTATGGGTTGTTGGTATTTAAAAAAATATAAACCATCAAAATAATAAGTTTCATCCAAACAATTAATTTATCTGTGGTTGGACTTGGTGCCGCTCCGACTTGTTGTTCACCACAGACCAAAATAAATAATTTTTCAAGATGATTCAAAGGTAAATTTGACACTATTACCGTTAGTTATAAAACTAAGAAAATGAAGCCTAAGGAAGTTATCATCCAGAATTGTAGAAAAAAATTTCTTGAAAAGGGTAGTGCAAAAAAGCTTCTGGCATTAACAGTTTTTCCTTTAAAAATGGTACTTCCACTGGAGTAAAAACCTTAAGTTGATCCTCTAAATTCTACAAAAGTCTTTTTAAACAGTAGGTTTTATACTTCTGCATGAGAAATACACTTTAATACTTTTTGACACCTCTGCTAGTTTCCCCGCCAACAGAACAAAGATTATAGAAAATATGTCTGTTCCAGATATTGTGTTGTGTTTATCCTATAATAGTTTAAAGCTTTGAGAAAAGGTCACAGATTAGCGCACCGTGGTCCAGATCCGGACCCACCTGCTGGCTAATCCGGACCCGACCTGATTTAAAAATTTATAAATTACTGCATGTTGTCCAACGACAGTGTCTAACTTCACTTGCGCCGCTTCTCCATTAAATACGGTAAATCCCTCCGGAGCGTCCGGCTCCAGGTTGCATGTGATCCCAATGAGCCAATGAGCTGCTATC